GATTGATAATAGGAATTCTCAAGAGTTGGGAGAATTCCTCCAAAGTTGGCACAAGTTGATAATCAGGAAAAGTGAAGTAATGGTGTAGAGGATCAAAGAACTGGAAGAGCACCTTCATCATGTCTTCATCAGAGTTGGAGGTAACCAAGTTTAGTAGGCGACCATGTCTTTCGGTAAATGGAGAATTTTTAGGAATCCTTAATGCTAACTCTTTTAGTTGAGGAGGGATCCTTACGAGATTGACTTGAATGGTTTTCCTGCGGATAGAATCCATGTCCTATAAAACAGAACAAAGATGAATCCCAAAAATCCTTGAAATGGTTAGTGATTATGAGTATGATGTTATGATGTTTATGATGTTATGTACAAGTAAATATATACAAACAAAGCAAGTAAGTCCTTAGGTTTAGGCTTGCATGGAGTCTCATAGGTAAGTACCCTCTTGAAGTTTAGTTGGCTCAAATTTGTCCTAGAAATAGTAATTAGGTTCTAAAGGAGCTCAATATCACTGGTTTGTCTTCTCGGGCATTGTTTCAGCGCAAGCCTCTTTAATGGAGACCGAAATATCCCAAAAAACCAAACCTCAATGAGTGTAGTATCGAGTATCTACCAACTTCGAACTGCACCAAAGCCGGTCATCTCACTACGTCCTAATGGCCAAGTTGGTCAAGTAAAGATTCTAAAATTTCATTAGTGCTTCATGACATCACTCAATGGCCCCGTATTCTCCTTGACTACTCAAGGGCTACCGGTACCCACAAATATGTTGCACTAACGTAGCTATTGCTTAGACCATGTCGGTATACCCCGCACAGTTTCCACAACGTATTACTACTTACCTATAAGGTATCCCAAATCTGGGTAGAGGATTTAAACCCAAACAAAGAACCATAATGTAAAGCACACAAGTCAAACAAAGAAAGCAAGTAAATGTGATCTAGCCCTAAGGTAACCCCACTTTTAGAATTTTCCCAAGTAGAGTCGCCAGTTCTGTGATATGGTGAGAGAACTGACTTGGTTGTTTTGCGTTTTATCGCAAATTTTGCGGTTAGCAAGAGTCGCCACCAACTTTTATTTTATCCAAAAGGAAAGGTGAAAAAGCACAGGAAAGACCTTTGAGATTGTTTTCTTGAGTTCGGGGGGTAGATTATGAAAAGGGAAAGTATTAGCACCCTTTTCATCCATGGTTTTCCATGGGCTCTTAGTTACTTGCTAGATCACTTGCTTTTGTTTGAAAATGTACTTTGTGTGGTTTTTTGAAAGTATTTTGAAAAAGGCACAATGGTTTAGGCAAACTTTGTAATGATTCTCGTTCGTAAGAATGTATACAAAGTGTTGATCTTTTGAAAATGTTTTCAAGTTTGAAAGATGTTTTTGAAAGTGTTTGTGTTTGTTTTGAAAATAGCAAGGATGTTTTTGTTTTGAAATTGAGCAAGTAACTAAGAACATTCTACCTACTCAAAAGTCTTTCATGTTCATTTCCTTTCTCCTTTGACATTGTTATCTTACCGATGATTTGGTAAGTAACCCTATCTTTGGATGTAAACGGGACGGGCATGGGTCATCGTATAACCATGATTAGCAATGTTGCAAGGTATCTTACCATCTTCCTTTAGGGACTAAGATCATTTTGAAAGGCAACTTTTGATAGCGTCATCGAGGGACTATGATCTTGTATTTTTGCTTGTTTTTGCTAAGATACTTCGCATGCATAATATGGTCATTTTTGTAAGGAAACCAAGTGGATTTTACCCTAGGGGTGCTTGTGTGCAAGTGTATTAATTTTCATGCTTTGTTTAATCTCTGATTAGGGTTTGCTACTTGTTGATTTTATCTTCTCATACAAACCCTAATTACTAGCATTTATATAAAGCGATAAGTTGCGAAAAGTAAAATTACTACGTTATTACATCATTAGGGGAGGGGGTGTACAAATTTACAAATGAGAATTGCAAGAAAATTAAAACTAATTATCTATTACAACCATATTGAATATTGTACAAAATTGAAAATAAAATACAAGAATATAAATGGAAAAAGAAATGATTTTTGTTGTTTTTATGAAAGAGTTTTGTCTTGACCTAAATAAAGAAAATGATTAATTAAAATTAAATAAAATTAACTTAAACTAATTAAGAAAAGAAATTAATTTGAAAAGGACTTTTAGGATTTTTTATGAAAAGGTTTTAAATTAATGAGAATAAAATGAAGATTAATTAATTAAAATAACCTAAGTTCTAAATTAATTTTAGCTAAGAAAATAAAATAATATATTAATTTATCCTAAGTCTAAAAATTAATTATTTAAGAAAAAGAAATAAATTTATTTGTTTTAAGAAAATGTTTTTTTATCTTTTTGTTTTATAGGGAAAATAAATATATATAAGTATGAGTAATAAATAAAAATAAATTTGGATTTTTTATGATTTATGAAAATAATAATAGTAATAATAATAATAATAATAATAATATTAATAATAATAATATTAATAACAATAATAATAATAATAATAATAATAATAATAATAATAATAATAATAATAATAATAATAATAATAATAATAATAATAATAATAATAATAATAATAATGAAGAAAAATAAAATAAAAAAGAAAGGGATAAGATGAATAGGGAGGGGAATGATAAGCTAATTTGGATCACTACCTCAAATTTCTTTCATCTTCAAATTCAATCATTCATCTTGGTGGATTAAAGTACTAAACATATCATTAATCCAAAACACCAAAAATGAATTGAATAATTCACTCTTTGGTAGATTTGAATTAATGAACATTTATCCAACTTCATCTACACCCAAAGTTCATTGAATTTAAAGAGAAATTGGACATTTAAAATTGCAATTCAAATCAACAATCAAAAGGAGTGAGTAGAAAAAGAGAGATGGATCAAAACAACCCTAAAACAAGGCAGAAAAAGTATTTTTGTTCTGTTGCAATTGATTGCACTCTGGAAGCAATCGATTGCATCAGTGCATTTTTTCAAAAAACGTGAAATTATGTTGTGATAATCGATTGCGCTGTTACAACAATCGATTGCATCCTGTTAAAAACAGAAACACAACATTTTAGGCCAAATTCTTGTTCAAACTTTCCATCAAACACCTTATGATCATAGATTTAATTGAGCACGAAAATTTCATAAAATTATGAGAAAATAGCACCATTGAAATCACAAAACAATGCTCAATGAATCAAACCCAAAGATCAACAAGAGATCACATTGTGAGAGATGAAAAATCTAACTTACCAAAGGTAGATCTAGAGAATTATCAAAACAACTTCAAGAATTTACTTCAATTCAACCCCAAGAATCAATTGCTCAAACTTAGATGTAGAGAATTGATAAAGAAAAAGTGTTTGGATGAAGGTTTAGCTCAAAGATTAGTAAGCTTCAATGCAAAGCTTACTAACTTTTTTTTGAAAATTGAGCTTTGAGTGAATTTGGTAGATGGAGAGAATTGAGATATTTTTTAGCAAGGTGAATTTGGCTATCAAAAGCTTTAGATTTAAATGAAATTAAGGCTCTATTTATAGAGTTTAGGCTTGGGATTAGTGGTGGTTTCGTAATTAATTCTTGGAGCCAAAATTTGAATTAATGATATATCTTTCAAAAAATGAAAAATTGGAGTCAAAATTTGAATTAATGATATATCTTTCAAAAAATGAAAAATTAGAGTCAAAATTTGAATTAATGATATATCTTTAAAAAATGAAGAAAAATTTGAGCAAAAAATGACAAGCTTGAAATTGCTGATTTTTTCAAAATTTCATATTGTGCAATCGATTGCACTCTGGGAGCAATCGATTGTATAGTGAGTTTTTTTTCAAATAATGCGCAAAATGCACTTTGTGCAATCGATTGCACTCTAAGAGCAATCAATTGTACAGTGAAAAAAATGAAAATATTTTAATTATTTTTCTTTGCAAATAGAGATTTTAGGAAAATAATACTGGAAAACCCTATTTGTCAGATGCTTTGACTCGGTACCTACAAAACATAAATATACAAAGACAATTATGTTTTGTATTTTAATTAGAAGTTAGTCAAGAACGCAATAGCAAACTTAAAGATAGGATGCAAATGTGATGAATGAAGCTATTTGTTAATGATTGTGATCAAATGACAAAATATGATATGAAAGTGCGACTGAAAAAATTAGGGGTGAAATTTAGGGTACAACACTTCCCTTTGGATTTAAAGCCACAAGCAGATAAATAAGATAAGAGTATACCAAATCTCAGGTGAAAATAAATCACAGACAAACAGCATCAAAGAAATCCAAGGCATCTGATAAAACTCAAAACATCGGATAAAGCGCATCAAGTGAAAATAAATCTCAAGCAGGGAAAGCGTGTCAGGTAAGCTCAATGTGTTAGATAAGAATTCCAAGTGTCAAATATGAATCCTTGCATCAGATAAAATTCTAAACAACCAAACACAACCAAAATAACAAGGATATAGTTCAAATGTCTCATCAGAAATCCAAATCAAGCTATGGGACCGGAATGCGTCGAATCGAAGTCCATAAAATAAACAAGTCAAGTCTATGTATCCATATGTATTCAAGAGTCAAATTGGAATTAACTTTAAAATCCAAATGCAATAATATAGAATCGGCAACAATACTTGAATTATTTACAATAACACAAAAGTAAAAGAGGTGCAAGCATTAGATAAGGGGGGTGTTAACGTGAATGGACTTAGAAAGAATCCTAGTGCTAAAAAGCACATATATAAACCTATAGTTTCTATTTAATTATTTTCTTCTTTTTATTAACTAGTAATCATAATATATAAATAAAACCAGCAAAAACTGAATTTAAATAAATAAAAAAAGATTTAAAAGAAAAAGACAAAAACAAATGAAAGGGTGAGGAGCTGTTGCGTATGAAAGTAAGGTGGACCAGCTAGCGGAGACTTGCGAGAGGCTAACAAAAATTTTGACAGACTATAATGGGTTGTTGATATCTTCAGTGAAGATGGAGTTTGTGTTTCACAGTGAAACAAAAAGGGTATCCCAATCTGATGGTGGAATAGATGGAAAATGCCGAGAGAAATGGGAACAGTAAGAAGGTTGAAGAAATTTGTGGTAACATGAAGAGTATTGTAGAAGGAGAAGGAGGGAGTTCCGCGAGTTATCGGCGAATAGATGGAGAAGATTGAGCGATTGGTGATGAAGGTGGATTTGTGATGTAGGTAAGGGTCTCCGACGGATGGAATTTTCTGATGGTGTTGGAGGTGAAATGAAGTAGGCGTGTGGGATTGGAAATTGATAGTGGCGGTTCGCAGAACTGTCGGAAGGTTATCGAAGGTGGAAGGAGACGGATTGCTGAAAACAAAGATGTGGTGAGAGTTTGGTTTACTATGGAGAGTGAGAGTCAGTGGCGGATTTACCATAAGGCAAGGGTGGGCCTATGCCCGGGCTCCACTCAGCCCAATTTATCTTATATTTATTAAAATTAAATAAAATCAATTTTAAAACAAAAAAATTAAATAAAATCAATTTTAAAACAAAGAGAAAGGAAAAAACAGAAATGTTTTTTTTTTAGTTATATTATATTATTAAAATTAAATAAAAATAATTTTAAAACAAAAAGAAAGGAAATAATTTTAAAACAATTTTAAGAAGCTGAAACGTAAAAGGGAGAAGAAAAAATTGCTCACTCCGCCGTCTCCCACCTTTCTCCTAGTCGTCTCCCTCCTTCCGTCATCTCCCTCCCTCCGTCGACTCTCTGCCTCCATCGAATCCCTCCCTTCGTTGCCTACCTGTTTCTTCCTCTGTCTCTTCGACTACGTCGTCATTGCAATCGTAAATCTCACAAATCACACGCTTTCGACTTTCGGTATAATATTGTTTTTTATTTGTTGTTTATGTTTCTGGTATATAGCACTGTTTTGATTTGATGAGGAGACTTTGTTGTTATTTAGGTTATTCACAAATTGGTCTTAAAGAGTTATAGTTACTGTAAACAAATCTATTATAAATCTATAAAAAATGATAGTCCTGGAAATTACCACAACACCACAGCTGAAAAAATCCATTGTTGGTCTATTGTATTGGGGTAAAATTGGAAACTCCAAAATATCTTGCACCACATTGATTTGAATCTGATGTGGCACTCCCACAATTTTTCACCACATTTTCAATTTTTTTTTCCAAATAAATCCCACATATTATACTGTTTTTTAAAATAAAGAACCAATTCAATTTATTGTGCAGGCAGCGTGAGAAACCCAACCATGGGGAATACCAATTCACTATTCCTTGCCATTCATTGTGCCTCTCTTCCTCTTCCCCATGCCAAACCATTATGCCTCTCTTAATCAAATTCAAATTCAAATGTGAAGTTGAAGATTATTCCGGATTTATTCCAACAGAGATTGGGACGTTGGCGTCGATGTTGTGGAGATATCAAAAAGCAATAGCAGGTATCAAAAAGCATCAAAATTTCGAATTTTTAATGGTCTCTTTTTAATATATCCATCTATATGCTTTTGTTCTATATGATTAATCTGGTGAAATTGAGAAATAAATATACTGTGTGTGCAGGCTTCAACTCTACATTGCGGCTTGGAAATGTACACTGCAGATACTTTCTGGTTTCAGCTTCATGTAACCTTTCCATTTACTAATTGCTCTTACCTTCTTTAGGTTGGAAAACGAAGGGATGTTGGTTTAAACCATATTGCCCTATTTGAAGGGAAAGTAGCGGGTGGTATTGGAGAGCAAGTGGTTAGCAGGGATATTACAGGCTAGAACATTGTTGTATTAATTATTAACTGCAATTTTTTTTTTTGTTCTTGTTTTGGTTACAGGGTGTAGAGTGTGATTATAGGCACAATGAGATTGTGAGGCTTAACCCGAGGGATTGCTGGTACTGGTTATCGGTGAATTGTCTTAATCCGACTTGTGCTTTTCGACATCCTGTGAGTTCTTCATTACTGAAACTTTGAATATGTGGATTGGAATGAGTGAAACTTTGATGTAAATGTTGACTTAATTTGTGTATTTCAGGTTAATGTTTACCGATGACTTGAGTTCGGCTACAGCGTGATAATGTGGCTGAATTAGTGCATCTGTCAAATATTGTTAATGTTTCTTCGCTTCAACTCACGGAGTTTCTGCTCTTGAACAAATTCTGGTCATTGGTTTTGTTTCGAAATGGTACTCAACTGCTAAAGCTTTCCTTTAAATTTTATCTTTTGTAATGATAACTTAAGGGTTGATTTCACATTTCATGCAGCTTATCCCAGTATCTGGCTTCTGTGAAGATGGTAGGTTATTTGAAGGTAAATTTATTTTTTGTAATGATAACTTAAGGGTTGATTTCACATTTCATGCAGCTTTATCCCAGTTAGAGAAAAATTTGACAGCAACTACAGCTTCACATAACTATGAGCAGATGATGCCAGCTGCTGATGCCTCAGGTGTTTTGTGCTGGTGTGATACAGGACACTCCAAAATCCATTTCTTAGATTTTAAAATATATTTGCAACATTCTACTGAACCAAAATGGTGTGGACTAATGGTATTTCAACAATCTGTCAATTGCTGTTATGGGATAGTGTTCTAAACAGCTGAGACTTTTGTTGCAGCAGGTAAGTAACATGAAATGGAAGCTGATTGTAAAATGTTTGGTTTACAGGTGAATTTGCGTGAAATATAATATAATGTCTATGTCGAAATCTGTTTTTTATCCATTTGTTATGACATCTCTCTGCAGGCAGCAATTGCAATTGCACAGAGACTTCGTATCGCGAGCGTTTTCTTGCAAGTATCCTAACCAAGTAAGTCTATATTCATATATCATTCTATTCAAATTAATGTTTATAGTTCTAGATTCTGATGAAATACTAATATATTTTAACGTGTTGTGTTCAGGTTTCATTTGATTTGGTAGAAAAGTACCCAGAGGATTGATTTGGTAGAAAAGTACCCAGAGGATTATAATGGTTTTAGAGAGAATGCATTATTTCAAGACTATCATCGACTTATATCTATCAGAACTGCAATGGCAGCCTTCATGGAATAAGTAAGAGGTGGTAGACCCAAATTCGAGCCACAAATAATAGTCATTACTCCTGGAGCTGCTGTTAATGAACTCTTAACCTTCATGGAATAAGTATATATGATGAATAATTTGTATACTTATCTTTTTATTGTACTTTTGTAGGTTTGATAAAGATTTAAGGTGGAAAACTGGTGTAAAGATAGTGCCAATTCACTGCAACAGTTCTAACAATTTCGAGGACGTATAATGGATGGCAGGTTTGATGCAAATCAAAGGAAAAGTTTCAGACGTGTTGGGAATTGTTCTTATTTGTAAGTTTTTTAATAACTTTGTTTCAATAACTTTTGTAACAATTTATTGATGCTTGTATTGATCATTCTTTGTTTTATGAAGTTTTCCGGTGCGTGTTTGATTCTGTGTGCATTTCAATTTTTGGTGAATTTTTCTTATTTCCTTTTATTTGTGCAGTTTAAAATTCCATATATATGGTTTTCATGATATATTTAATTTCCCTTAACCCTTGGATAGCAATGAGTAGATTGTATCTATAAAGTGCAATTTTTGTTCGTTGGACTATTGAATCATTTCAACAATAACTATCAAATTTTCCATCTTTTCGATTCAGTGTCAAACTATGCTGTCAATAGTCCAAAAAGAGGGATACTGGCACAGGAAGAAAAAAGAAGGAACCTGTTTGAGAAGAAAGAGGTTGTCCACAAAGAAAGAGGTAGTCCAAAAAGAGGTATAGAGATTGGTCATTTTTATTGTTGAGAATTGTTTTATCTGCTACACCACCTTATTTGTTGTTATATCATTTCAGTAAAGTCCAAACAAATTGTTATGTTATATATATATATATATATATATATATATATATATATATATATATATATATATATATATATATATATATATATATATATATATATATATATATATATATATATATATATATATATATATATATATATATATTATAAATCTATAAAAATGATAGTCCCTGGTATATGATACTGATTTCAAGATGTTTGTATTTTCACAGTTGGATTTGATTCAAGCCATTGTGCCATCTTATTTGGTATCAAAATTCAAAACACAGCTTGAACTTGGTTGTTCCTACATAATGCAGAATTTCAAAGTTTCCAGCAATGATTTCTCCTTCAAATCCACTGATCATAAGTTCAAATTGATTTTCTGTGGTTCAACTTCCGTCAAAAAGGTCCAACTTGCTGACATACCTCTGAACCACCTCAAGTTAATTGGAATAAATGCTATTATTGAGGGTAAATACAGAATGAATTTTTTATATGGTGAGTTACATTTTTACTGTTATAATAGAACGCATTGTATTGTGACTTCTTCGTTATACATAACTGTCTGTGGTGAACTTTTGTGCAGATATAATTGGTGGGGTTACTGAAATATCCCAAGCCCAGATAATTCCTGATAACAACAAAAGCAAGGTTGTGTTTTCATTAACTGATCTGAGGTAGGTGTTTCATTTTGTTTGTTAACATTGATGCTGATAAATATAAAAGTCTAACATGTTCATGTTGTTTGTTTTGTAATTCCTGTCAATCAGCAAACATCATGTGCAATGTACTCTTTGGGGTAAATTAGCTGTGCAACTAAATGAGTATTATACGACTCATAAGGCTGATGGTAGTATTGTTCTCCTACTTATGAATGCAAGGATAAAGGAACCTCAAGGTATGCTATGTGACTATTTCTTATTATATCCAATTATTATATCCAACTTTAAGTGTTGTCATTTATAAATATCTCAATTTTCAGGAAATTATCCTTTAAATGTATCAAATGCTTGGAACGGCACAAAACAGCTCATCAATGATTTGTCTATTGAGGAGGTTAAAAACCTTAAAGAGAAGTAAGTGATTTTATTATGAAGTTATGAATTAGCAACCTATGATTACTAACAGCCTGTTTTCATTCTGATCTATGTACATCAGACTTAAAGATGATCTGCCGACGCTCTCATCCTCGAGCATGCAAATGGAAACCACAAATACCTCTATTTTTTCTGATTTGGACAAATTTGTATGGAAATCTGAAGTGTTGAGTCTGTCTGATATTGCATATCTGCAGACTGTAAGTTGCTCTTTAATACATGATTGTCTTAGATTGAGGAATTACACAGACTGGGTTCTAATCCATTTTTTGAGACATCATCCCATCTTTCTGTTTCAGGAAACTACATGTGTGACTGTTGTGACTCTGGAGAAGTTTGAATGTGGGCAGTCAGGATGGTATTATGATGGATGTAGTGAATGTACCAAAAGTGTGACTTTGAAGGATGGAAAATTCATGTGTTATTCCAAACACATCAGTTCTGAGCCAGTCCCAAGGTAACTTCTAAGTATTGCATATCAATGATTATCATCATATAACCAAACGCTTTATTACTGACAATTTCTTATTTTGATCACGCATGGTACAAATTTAAGCTTGAAGTGCTTGCCTCCGATGGAAAGTTAAAATACAAGTTAAAATATCAGTGGCGCTTTAAATTACACTGTCATCTAATCTGTTGAGTTGTTAACTTAGTGTCTTTGAAAGGAAAAAAATGTTTCTCTTTATGTCTTGATGCTGGACAATCCATATTATTTTGCATACTTTATGCATAATACACGGTAGTATATCAGTATAATGTACATTAATCTAAAAAACTAATACATGAATAACAGATTATACATAGCAGAAATCCATGACACTTGATTAATATAAATTGTTACCGGATAATACCGGAAACGATATGCAATTATCTCATCAACGCAAGATATGGAACTAATTTCGTATCATCCCATTTAACAAATCATAAGCAGATTGTACATTGAGCCGTAGCCCAACAATATCAAATAACAAAACTAATAACAAAGACAAATGGGCATCAAATAGATTTTCAAAACAAATAGTTATGCATTTCCGCCCATACAAAAATAATCCCTCCTTTTTGCCATGATGCTTCCCATGTAATCCAATCAACAACTCCTTTCAATGCTGCCCTCTCTCAACTTTGACCAATATACGTTCCACAGGAGGATGCTCTACACTGAATAAGAGAACGTCACCTTTCGACAGCTCTTTGTCCTTTGCAAATTTAAACCAACCCCTTGACAGAAACTTCTCGGTCATGTTCTCCCTGGATTTGAAAACACATTGATACGTAATACCCGAGTCTGTGTCATGAAGATCAATATATGATCTTGGTTCCATGAAGATTTCCTTGATGACTGCTGCTGGAAAGTGCTGCAACATTAAAACTTTATTAGCTATGTCTATTCATTCAATGTTATGCATCCTTACGAACTGTAACAGCAAACAGATCAAGAGCTTTCAAGAACTTGATTTTTTATCTGGCTGCTGCTCTTAACAACTTTCTGCCATCTGCAAACAAGTTTCTCTTGCATGGCAGGAGGTTATACAACATCAGCAGCATCAGTAGTGTTGTTCTCCTCGCTGCATTAACAAACACGATTATTTAAACTACTAATTTGCAAAGTCAAATATTCAAATGTATATATGTAACCTAAAAGCCCTTGCCTGTCCAACACATCGCCCGCTGATTCCATTGCTTCATCAGTGGAATTCTGTTCAGGCTCATCGTCTGATATGTCAACAAGCCATCCCTCCTCTCTGGCTATTTCAAAGTACTTTTCCACTGATAGACAGCTTCTCACCTTTCCCGTTCTCAGTTCGTACGATTCCTCTCTTTCGACATACTCATAGTATTTGTCCATAAGTTCAGCACGTGTAAAATTTATGCAACTCCTGCTGCTTAATCAAAAAAACAACAAACATCATGCATTCAGTTTTTTGTTTTTTTCACTATCAATATGAAAATACACTCATTCCAGAATACTGTTTTACCTTGAAGAACTTTCAGCTTCCTCTTTCCTCCTCTTAGCCTCTACATGCAACTTTCTCCATTCTTCTGCTCTGTCCCGCTTATCCTCTGATTGCTTCCAAACCTTCTGTGATTTATCTTTTACCTTCAACCACC